CTGTAATGCGATCGTGTGATGTGTTCCATAAGTAGCCTGTTCTCTCGGAAAATTCCAAAACGCCTCCTGCCAACTCCAACAACGCCTACGCGCTTAATTAATGAAAATAAACAATGTTTAGCTATACCGGCTAATATGAAATGTTTAAATGTAGCGACCAACGTTTTTTTTTATATTATTTAGTTTTATTATTATTTCGTCATACGTCACGAGAACAGGCTACTTATGGAACACATCTCGCGATAATGGCCAAGAATGCTCGCTGTTATAAATCACATAAATTAGATTGATCAGTGCTTTCTTGGTAATGACTAGGCTTGTTCATGTAAGAGAACATCGACTGAGCCTTAAAAACCCCACAAAAAGCTTAAACGGGTAGTCTAGAAGCATTTTAAAAAGTCACGTGATATTTGTTTCATCCCTTCTATTTATTTCTTCCCTCGCCTTTTCGCTTGCTCGCGCGCCCGCAATCCTTGCTGTTACTTTCGTTGGAACGTCATGTAATATTTTCGTTTTGTCAATTTATTCGCCATGTTTGAACAATCGTTCGAATCAAAATGTTTCTGAGCGATTTTCTGAGCGTGTATAAGCGCCCTGTTAAAAGCTATTCACTGCAAATACAAGCTCTTATGATTTATACAAGTAAGTGCAATAGTTTAAATATATTACGTTATGATGTTTTATTCATATTACGTTTAATTAATGTTTTATTCATATTCATAACACAGCTCTTAGTTGGACCCCCTGTGGGTTAGCACTATTTTCCATCCAGCAAACTGACCTGACGTCATTTTCGGAAGATGGAAGAGCACTGTGGAAGAGGTGTTAAATGGAAATGGCTACCCCTACTCTAACTCCTAACCCTAATCTTGAACCCTAACCTCAACCCTAACTCAACTTGAACTCAACCCTAACCGAATTAATAAAAAAATCCAAAAAGAAACGACTTTAGAAAATCGATAGGGCGGTTTGCTGGATGGAAAAAAGTGCTATCCAAATTTTACAATTATAAAACACGCGTGATTTTTGCGTGCGCTTGTCGCGAGGACTGAGGAGTCGGAGCGGGAAAGTGTGTTAATAGAGAGGTTAAGATACCCCGGTTTCGGTGTACGGGTACGAGTAGTGTCATCTTGTTTTACTGATGTCTGTAATTCGATCATACTTCTGTTTTCTTGCAATAGACAATGATATAATGCGAAAAATGTGCACCTTAATTACGAGTAAAGGTACAGACATCGACGAAAATATGGTCAAATATTGCTAACCAAAATCATGCTACCCGTACACGTACACTGAAACCGGGGTATCTTAACCTCTCTAATATATATTTTCACAAGTAGGATTCAAAGACCAAGAAATTTCGTTTTTTTTACTTGAAATCAGGGCCATAGCGAAGGGGGGTATTGGGGTTAACCCCCCCCCCCAACTTTTTTAGAATTAACATATTCGGAAAATCAGGTTGGTCATTCGGAAAATTACGGCAGGAATAGTATAACAAAATTTTAGTTGTTTAATTAAACAGAGAAAATATTATAAAATTGTATTGTCAGTATCATAAACTGATTTACAAAATCACGGCATTTACATGGATAACATTTAACAAATCGTAGATCGGTAAATGTTTTTCGGTTTATTACTTCCCAGGGCCGTAGCAACGGGTGGGGGGAGGGGGCAGTCCTCAATATATCTTTAAAATACTGACAATTGATTAATTTTAAGCGGCTACATTACCCATGACAAACCGCAAAGAATCATATTACCCATATACGCCTTCGCCCATTTAGTTCTTCTAAATTGTAAGCAAATTAATTGTAAATTTCGACGTGCTAAAACTCTGTTTTCTGACCATTAGAATTCTGTCATAACTTCCCCCAAAGTCCACGAAATGGCATTTCAGAGACTCTAAATTTAAAAATTTCCTCGGGCCTTCGGCCCTCGCCACCCCCATATCAAAAAGAACTTCCTACGGAACTGCATGCTTCTGTAATATGTCTGTGCGTAAAATATGACAATATGTGCGTAAAATATTGTAAATTGCGTTTTCATTTTCCGGATAGCAAACACCTTCGTGACTTCGTATGCCATGCAATATTCGGAAATTTCTTTCGTCATTCGGAAATGTTTGGCCTACACACCCATGCATGCTTAGCTAGCGGCCCTGCTTGAAATGCATAAGATTTTTGAACTTTTTTAACAGCAATTTTAATACAAAGTATATTTCTTGATAATAAGATGTAATCAATCGAGTATTAAAGTTTATATTTTATCGAGCGACATCGTTTTGCTTTATAAATATACTGACTGAAAAGTCAAACGTTCCAACAGCAACGAATTGGTTCAGTTTGGGCTATATTTGTGGACTCAGGCTGACGAATCATTAATTAAAAGATAAGTATTGTATTATTTTACTCTTATTTTACTCTTATTTGCTATAACTATTGATTTTTGAACAAGATCAATCTGCTTAAATGGTGCCTGTCACTGGACTTTCAAGTCGAAGTCTCCAGAAGAGCGAGGCGAGTTTGTTAAGCATAACAGAATCTGTTTCAATTGTATCAACTCAAAGGAGCATATCTCACGAACATGCAACTCTTCCATCCGTTGCAGAAGTCCTGGGTGCGGTAAACCTCACCATTCACTGTTACACATGAGTTCGCCTCCAAAAGAAAAGAAAAGAAAAGAAGACGAAATCCGATGTTGGAACAATGACATTATCTATTGATGAGTTTAAATCAACCAATAATTTAACTTCCAAACAAAGAAATGAAGTCTTGCTTCAAGTAATTCCTTTACGAATCATCAACGAAGATGGCAACCAAGTGACGACATATGGTCTTATTGATTCAGGTTCTGATGTGACAATGATTGATCCCTCTCTGGTTGAACGATTGAGAATCAAAGGTTCCTCCCTTTCCACTGTTAATACTAAAGATGTTGAAGAAACTGGTCTTAAAGTAGATTTTACGATAGCTCCCATTGATGATGACAACGACCTAGGAATAGTGATGGGCGATACCAGGATTTTTAATTCGATACCGATACTTTCAGGATCGGTATCGGCCGATACCGATACCTATTTCGATACCAAAATGAACACAAAATTTCAATTTTCGATACCGGAAGTGAGTACTTAAATTGCTAGTATCGGCTACTTTCGATACCTGCCGCTCAGCGGAAAATCATTTTACATTACTGTATGTAACCTAAATAAAGCTATAAGTAAACCAAAAGTCCGAAACGTAATAAATATTTTCTATACATGACTTGGCGCACCACATTTGGAATATTAAGAGTTAATTTGTGGTTCATTAAGTCTTAGTTCAACCAAGAAGTGAAAATAAACCAGTCTTTTAAAAAAGGGTGCAAGTATCGAACGATACCACGTCAGTAATCGATACCGATACCGCTGTTTGTGGTATCGCTGGTATCGAATACCGAGTACTCGGTATCGCCATCACTACCTAGGAATCAATGTCAATGATGCCTGGGCGATCAAGGACTTAAACATCCCGCTCAAGCCATATTCTGTCGTGCGTCGAAGCGTTAACCAATGGCCTCACTTGAACGATCTCAAATTTCCCGAAGTAGAAAGACAGAAGATATCTGTCTTGATTGGCACTAACATCCCGGTCATTCCCGGAAGCGTTCATTCCACTTGAAGTTAAGAAAGGAATGCCGTGCGAGCCTCTAGCAATAAAGTCGTGTCTTGGGTGGAGTGTTCTGGGTAATTGTAACGTGAGCAACACCAACGGCAGTGGTCCCAGATTACGAGCTCAGTTAAATCATGTTGTTCAAGACGAAGTTTCCCTTGATAAGCAGCTAGAACATTTCTGGAAGACCGAGTCATATGGTCTAGAGAAACTGGAATCCAAACCAATGTCCGTTGAAGACCAATATGCCCAAAGAGTTATCGAAAGTACGATTTCGAAAGTAGATGGCCATTATCAAATGGGTTTGTTGTGGAAAGAGCAAAATCCTAGATTGCCATGTAATCGAGTGATCGCTGAAGCTAGATTAAGCCACCTGAAGAAACGCCTTCAACGAGACCCTGAACTCCATAATAAGTATCGAGCCGTTATCGAAGATTACATGGCGAAAGGTTATGCAAGAAAAATGACCAAAGAAGAAGCGTCAGCCAGAAGTAATATAACGTGGTACCTTCCTCATCATCCTGTGTTTAATCCGAATAAACCTGGAAAAGTGAGAGTTGTGTTTGACGCTGCGGCGAAGTTTCAAGACACGTCGCTAAATGAACATCTCCTTCAAGGTCCAGATCTTACGAACGATTTGGTCGGTGTTCTAATACGTTTTCGCCAAGATAGAATAGCATACGCTGCAGATATCGAAGCTATGTTTCATCAAACCCGAGTTATTTCCAAAGATACTGATGCCTTAAGATTCCTGTGGTGGAGCGACAGTATTGATGATCCTCCAGAAGAATACCAAATGCTGGTACATATATTTGGAGCAACCTCGTCCCCATGCTGTGCGAGTAAAGCATTGAGACAGATAGCAGACGACAACGAAAGCAAATTTGACCAAGAAGTAACCCGGACACTTCGCAGGAACTTTTACGTCGACGACAATCTAAAATCGGTCTCAACAATTCCAAAGGCAATATGGTTAGTGGAACAATTAACCAAACTACTGGCAAAAGGTGGTTTTCACCTCACCAAGTTTATCAGCAACAATCGGGACGTGTTGGCCTCAATACACCCTGACGAACGAGCGAATCCCACTCTCAATTTAGATTTGGATGACCTGCCTATCGAACGCGTGTTAGGATTGCAGTGGGATGCAGAATCGGACACATTTCAGTTCAAGACCATATCAGTCCGTAAACCTTACACCAAGCGTGGAATCCTCTCAGTTGTGAGTTCCCTTTACGATCCTCTTGGTTTCCTAAGCCCGTTGACATTTCTTGTCAAAGTCTTACTACAAAACCTGTGGAGGATTGGAGTTCAATGGGATGAGAAGATTCAAGATCCGTATCTTCTCCAATGGCAGAGATGGATTGAAGAATTGCAACACATTCGCAGTATCAAGATACCAAGATGTTTCCTGGCATTCAATTTTGGCACCTTGGTCGAAGTTCAATTACATCAATTTTCTGATGCATCCAAGATCGGTTATGCCGCTGTTACTTTTCTACGAATGCTGGATGATTCTGCGCAAATCCATTGTGTTTTTGTCATGGGAAAATGTCGTAATGCACCTATACGAGAATGGTCAATCCCTCGTTTGGAACTACAAGCCGCAGTTCTGTCTTCACGATTACACAAGTTAATCTACAACGAGCTGGAGTTAACAATTTCGAGGACATTCTTTTGGTCTGATTCTATGACGACGTTACAATACATCAAGAATGAAAGACGTCGATTCCGTCCGTTCGTGGCTAATCGCCTTAGTGAAATTCACGACGTATCATCACCAAGTGATTGGAGACACGTTCCAGGTGATCTTAATCCTGCCGACGATGGTTCAAGAGGAATGAAAATCAAAGCCTTTCAACCTACGTGTCGTTGGTGGACTGGTCCATCTTTCCTCTGGCAAGCTGACGAATGTTGGCCAACTCAGCGTGTAGGTGACGTTCCAGACAACGATACGGAACTCCAGACAGAGAAGCACGTGATGATCATTTCTCCTAGCGCTTCCTTAAACCAATTCCTACACCAATGTTCTTCATGGCCGCGTCTTCAAAGGCAAATGGCGTGGTTGTTGCGTTTTATCCAACATCTCAAGAATCCAGTTATTCCTTCGACAATGTCACCGATGATCACCTTTGCAGAGATGCGAGTTTCATCTTTGAAGATAGTCCGCATTATACAACGTCAGTACTTCCCAAACGAACTTGAGTCACTTCGAGATGGCAAACAAGTTTCTACCAACAGCAAGTTAGCAACCCTCAATCCGATCCTGATCGATGATGTCATCAGAGTCGGTGGAAGAATTCGTAATGCTCCCCTTCCTCTTGATGCAATGCATCCGATGATTCTGCCAAAGGAACATCACGTCTCTACTCTGATCGTACGCCTTAACCACCAGATCCTCGGACACGCTGGTCGTGAACATGTTCTTTCCTTTGTACGTCGACAGTATTGGATATTGCAAGGACGAGCACTTACGCGGAAAATCTTACGAAATTGTGTTAATTGTCGAAAGCGAAACGAAGCAGTGATGCAACAATTTATGGCGGACCTCCCAAGTGAAAGATTGATTCCGTATGAAGCTCCCTTTACCTACACTGGAATTGATTTCTTTGGTCCCTTCCTGGTCGTGATGGTCGTGTCAGGACAGCCGAAATAAAGACAAAGGAATCCACTTTGATTCGCCCAATCTCAAAATTATGTTTGTTGGAAGAAGCTGGACAATCATGATGTATCAACTTATACTGAACTATATATACGAATATTTGACTTTAATGAGTGAGTTTATTAAGATAGTGAGTGACATTTAAGTCTATTTATGTTAGGTTATTGAACACTGAATGAACCCTCTTCATTCAGGGGGCCGAGGATGTTGTGGCTAATCCAACAACAATACAATGACTAATTAGATTAGTTATGCATGACGAACATCGAATATTTAAACAGGCATAAAAAGCCAACACCCTGACTCATGTAAAGTATTCAAAGTAAGCAAAGCATTAAGCAAGTATTCAGCAAAGTATTCGAAGTATTAAGCAAAATTATCAAGTAAACCAAACCAAGCAAGCCATATTCATATTTATTTATTTATTTATTTATTTATTTAACTTCGCCATTATCATGCATGCATTCATGGCAGGGTCACCACAACAGTATATGTTACCAATTACTGTGGGCGCTTTAAATTTTAAATAGATAATAAAACACAAATAAAATACAACGAAAACTTCGATTTACCTGATCAAAGTCATCACACGAATTGGAACTTGAAGCCAAGCAAACAAATTCCTCGAAGTTTTCGTTGTATTGTATTTCACAAACATACTTAATTAGCTGCTTGCAAATTTTATAAAACATATAACAATTCATAGAATATAGGAAGATCTGACAACTTCGAAAAATAGATCAAAACAGTAAAGAACCTGGACGTGCACAAATTGACACAAATCTATGCAAATTTAGACAGAACATAAAATTAAGACTTACAACCTTCCTAATCATGTTTATATTTCAATAACTATATGAGACACTAATAGCAGCAAGAGAGTGAAGCAGCAAGACTACGAGCAGTGTTACACTTTAAGCAGATAGACTTCCATGTCCGAGGATTTTGAGGTTGATAATTTAGGTATAAGGCAGTTTTGAAGTAGTCTAACAGCAGAGATTTAAATCTTGGTAAAGTGAGAGACTGATGTCTCAGTTCTGCAGGAAGAACGTTCCAAACTCTTGCTGT